CCTTGTGGTCGACCCTACCTCCGTAACTCGGTAAGTTTGTGTTTGTTTATCCAGCCACTACATAATAATTATCCATAGGCCATTTGAGCCCGAACCCTCTGGTTGCCCGTCGAGTGTGTTACTCATGGGCCCTAGTACAGTCGACTTTTGTCGGGGCAACTAAGGGCCGTAACACCCATATACACCTCATTCAATCCTTAATTAAGAAACAAAATAGAGATGTGTTGACTCCCTAATTAAGAAGAAATGCTTAACGCCTCCATTAATAATTGGAAATTGCGCTTGCAGTATGATTGTGTAACTGGTGGAAGTCATGGCTGGCTTTTTGACATCAGTCGACCTTGGTAAGCGGCTACTGCAGCGATGGATTCAAAAGATATTGAGTCTATGGGCCGCAGGATCCACTTATCATCAGATGGACTGTGTGCTCGTTTGTCACCCTTATTCCAAAATAAGTAAAGTTACAGCCTATTTACTCCCCTGCTAGGCACAGGTCTCCTTTGATCTCTAAAGGGAACACATGATAGTGAAAAAAGTAACCTTTATTTTCTTTTTAGGGTTCCGTATCCAAATGGTAATCAACGGGACCCTATTACTAAGCTTCCGCTATTCATCCGTCTGTCTGTAGTGGGCTGTATCTCATGATCCGTAATAGGTAGATAATTAAAATTTTCTCAGAATGTGTTTTCTATTGCCGCTATAACAAGAAATAATAAAAATAAATTAAAAATTAAAGGGGCTCCTATACTAGAAACGTGTTTTACAATGGTACGAAATCCTTCATGCGCGAGCACTTGACCAGTTATTTAGTTAGTCAAGTCACTAAGTTAAAGTTGTAGCACGAATGGGTCGGTTCAACCGTCGAAAGACCGTGCTCTCGCAAAAAAAGCAGCACAATCCTGATGTGTGACAGTGAGTTTAGGAAACAAGTGACTTTTTTGTACTAATAACGACGCATTTCATCTTAGCCCTCAGGGATGACAACATATATGCATTTCAATTCTTAATCTATTAAAGATATAGTTATCTATGGGTCACATCATTTACTTACGGGTACCAACAATGAAAAGTGCTTGTTTGTTACTCTCACTTTTTTCAAAAAACTTATAAGTAGGTTTCTTGATTCTGACCTTTTGCCTGTTTGCATTAAAAATAAAGTAAATGTGTGGATCAATATCCGGGGTCGCTTGCCGCCTGAACCGACACGATTTTTGAATTATTGATCGAATGAACTTTTTGAAGCGAAAAGATCTAATAGGCTATCGATGATTTGAAATAGGGAAATATATCAAGAAAGAGAAAGATATTCATAGAGCTCACAAGCCCTAGGTCAACTATGAATATGCGCTTACGCTCCGGCCTGTTTTCAATGAGCCCGCCAAGCCCAAGAATATATTCAATGCATTAAATAAAATTTTCCTGTGAGAATAACGTATTATCCCGCGGTAAAAAGTATTTCCTCAGGATGCAGACGGTCTATCTCCTTACACCATACGTTTCAAGTGACGCCGAAACCATGCTCAACTTCTTCTGACACACTCACGCTAACATCTTTATTTCTTTATTTAGTAACCTGTAAAAGTCCACTGCCAGGTACACATGCATCTGAAACTAGGTTATTGGTTGTAAATAATTTAGATGCATATTATAATTACGCGTGTGTGTTTATGTGTATTTTATGTCAATATGTATTCTATTATTATATTAAATAACGCACGTAAATCGACTGTAGTTAAATACAGTCCTGAAGTATATTAGTGTTGATCTAAAGTACAGTTCAAAAAAGTGTACACGGCATTAAAATATAATTGCAGTAGAGACTCGGACTTAGGATATTAAATATTAAAAGAAACACGTAAATTTCTTTTAAATCTAACAAGGTAAGCTAAGTACTATCGAATATATCTAGAATCTAGATGTACGTTACTGCGCTTAATCTCAACGTAATCACGGCACATTTCGACAACAGAGTTGAAAGAGAAAATGCTATTTTTTATACGTGGGTAGAGCCATGCTGCAGCTATATTAGTAGTATAGTTGTAGCATGAATGAGTCGGCTAGACGGGGGGAGGACCACGCTCTCACAGAATACCAGCGTTAAATAGCAGCTTAACACTGCTGTGTTTCGTATGTGAGTGTAGAGAACCGGAGACCCTTTTTACTGTAAAAGAGGCATTCCATCTTAGTCCTCACGAGTGACAACGCATCGGCATTTTGATTCGCAAACGAGGATAGATGTCTATGGGCCACAGCAACCACTTACCATCAGGTGGACTGTGTGCTTGTTTGTCACCCTATCCTATAAAAAAATATTTCTGTATACGTATAACCTCAAAATTCTTGGATTACTTTGTCGCATACCGGATTTAAAGTTAACTAGTCTTATGAGCAAATACTCAAACGGTACTCAATTTTGAGATGTTGTTAAGTCTCGTGATGTCTCAGTCACTTTGACTCAAAGTGATAGAGACAGCACTAGTCTTAACGGCACTTTAAAATTGAGCAGCGCTTGATAATTTGGGCATTAGTAACTCTAATCAATCTATATGAGAATGCACAATATTGTGCATGAAATCACGGTCGGCAAATTGTCTCCTCAAAGATAATCGTTGGACATTCAAAAAATCTTTAGTCAAGAGTCATATAAGGTTGACAGAAGACGCTTGTGAACATATCTGTCAAAAACACTGCGAAGGACACAACTTTGCACCCTCTCAATGCTGTCAGAATGTAGCCTATAAAAGGGTGACAATACAGTGGATGCATACTCTAGTACAGAACGAACTAAATTTTAAATCAGAATAATGTGAGAGACTTGGAGAAATTTTTCGTATGTTTTATCAATAAGTTGATTAAGACTTTGGCTTGATTTCGGCGTCACTTGACATTTTTGCAGCGCCCCGCTTCTATCTTTTGTTATTGGTCTGAGTTAAAGATATAATGTTGTTGAAAGTAATGTTACTATTTCCGTTAGTTTAAAAAATACTTCTGTCTTGGAAAGAATCAGCAAAATAACGAGCGGCTTCTTGTTTGTGTGGTGAACTCGAAGGATTTCGACACTTCGGATGATGCTGAAGGTACTTTGCTTAACAAAATCTCGTCGGCAAAGAGAAGTATATATCCTTGGTCGGCGCAATGACATAATGTAGCGCTGGTGTAGAAATAAATTAGATATTATATTCAGTGTATTCAATACAATTGGAGTAACGATTACATTTTCTGCCGACTTCCAAAAAGGAGCCGGTACTCAATTCGACTGTATGTTTTTTTATTTGTGTTACCTCATAACTTTGTACTGGGTGAACCGATTTCAATAATTCTTTTTTTATATGAATGCTGATAGTTCTCGTGTGGTCCCATATGAATTTGATCAAGGTCAGACCAATAGTTTTTGAGTTATTCTTAAATAACTTATATTGAAGTCGGCTGTGCAAAATTTTTAATTTTAAATGATATACTTTTAAATGACTAGCCCCGTGACTTCGCCCGCGTGTAATTTAGGGTTTCAAATATGTTAAAGGCCGATAACGCATCTGCAATTCTCTTGGTGTTGATGGTAGTTCTTGGTTGCCCCCTCTCCTATAAAAAATATGTTGCGCGGAACCCTAATTCTTTTTCTAAAATATAAGTAGCCTCCTCCTGTTATAAGTACTTCTTATAACATCAGCTATCAGCCAGTGAAAGTCTCGTCAAAATCAGTCCAGCCGTTTTAGAGATTAGCTAGGACAAACAGACAGACAGATAAAAAAAAATGTGTTTTTGTTATAAGTACCGTATACACTTTCATATGTATTTAGTAAAAAGCTGTTATTTTGATATTACAAACAGACACTCCAAATTTTATTTATTTGTATAGAGTGTATAGATTACCATGCTGAGACGATATTGTAGAACCTGAAAGAACTGGGTAAAAAAAAAGAGATACGTGGTAGAGCCATACTGCAGCCATATTAATAGTATAGTTGTAGCACGAATGGATCGGCTCGACTGGGGAAGGACTACGCTCTCACAGAATACCAGCGTAAAATAGCAGCTTAACACTGCTGTGTTTCGTGTGGTGAGTGTAGAGAACCGGAGACCCTTTTTACTGGAAAAGGGGCATTCCAATTTAGTCCTCACGGGTGACAACGCATCTACATTTTGATTCGCAAACGTAGATTGATGTAGATGTCTATGGGCCGCAGCAACCGCTTACCATCAGATGGACTGTGTGCTCGTGTATCACCCTATCCTATAAAACAATGCTTTTGATTTCTTATATTTACGCGAACACTACACATTTTTAAATAAAACTAATTTTTACGGATTTTATCGCGTATATTAACTTATTTTTATATATTAACTTATTTGTGAACATGTTCAAGATCGTCCCCGCCATTACATTAGATTTGATAGACCACAAATTCTCGCAAAAGAACACCGATTCCTCCCAAGGATGATTCGCGAGGCTATTGAAATTAAAAAACATCCTAATTTCAATAGAGAAGATGGATGGGTGCTGCCATCTGCTTTGGATCCCATAATTAATAAAATCAAATCCAAACCCAAGTATACCACTGCTAGACTTCAAGATACTGTAAGCTCATTCTGCGTAAATCGAACCAAAAATTAATATTAAAAAACTGAAGGTAGCCGGGCTAACTATGACAGCAGGACGTCAAACAACTCAGTCCCCCGTGACCACGGGTGCTGGAAAGCACCCGAAACGTCTGGAATATATAAAAATAAGTTAATATACGCGATAAAATCCGTAAAAATTTGTTTTATTTAAAAATGCTTTTGAACTAAAGCTGATGATTAAGTTAATCTTCAGCAACTTTTTCAAGTTTTTAAATTATTAACACGATTGAAATAATGTTAGTTCATTGTGTTCAGTGTGCTCGTTTGTCACTCTATCCTATAAAAAAATTGCATATGGTTTTAATACCATCATCTGACAGACTTTGATAAGTGGATAAATGATTTCATATTTTTTTATTTAAATTTGTTTCAGACCGAGGATGGATATTCGCCGGCCATCATGCGCCCTCGCTCTTATCCTCGTTTTCTGCTTAACAGAACATGCACAGTAAGTGAACCTTTAAGATTTTACAATTATTACGGATCACACTTACCGACTACTAACCAACCAGTGGACCAACTTACTGACCACCGTACCAGCTGTGCGATTGTTTGACTATTATAGGAATCGCTTAGCGGTGGAGTGTTACTTTGCAATATTATAATGTTAAAACGTTGTTATCTAAACTAAAATAATAATATGTCCTCAGAAATGACAACGCATCTGCAGTCTTTTTTAACGTGATAGAGCCATGCTGCAGCTATATTAGTATTATAGTTGTAGCACGAATGGGTCGACTCGACCGGGGAAGGACCACGTTGTCACAGAGTACCACCGTAAAATAGCAGCTTAACACTGCTGTGTTTCATATGGTGAGTGTAGAGAACCGGAGAGTCTTTTTACTGGAAAAGAGGCATCTTAATCCTCACAAGTGACAACGCATCTGCATTGTGATTCGTAATCGAGGATAGATGTAGATGTCTATGGGCTACAGCAACCAATTACAGTCAGGTGGACTGTGTGCTCGTTTGTCACGCTATCCTATGAAAAAAAAGTCTACTTTATTCGAAGTCGATACATGCTCACCCGCGAGAAAAGAATCATCGGATAATTCTGTAGTTCTATGGGTGCTACTTCGTATAAAAACTTTTTATTTAAGAGCAATAATTAAGTTCATTTAAAAAAGAAAACATGTATCAAAAAGAGCTACCCTTGAAATCGTAACTATAACCTAATTGAATAATAAAGATATTTTTTTTCTTAAATAAGTTTTAAAATTGAGCAAAGCGGAGGAAGATGCAGTCTTTCGATGAAACTTGCGAAAATATAATATTATGCTATACTATAATTTGTGTCTATAAAATGAAAATTAAACACTTTGGTTAGGCCTTTAAACTCAGTTAACTTGAAATGCTATTAATAAAATACAGGCCAGTTTTAGTCACTTTTCTTTGTGAAGCGCCACAAGCACCAATCAAAGTTTTGACAGTCGACACTGAAGTATCACTTTTGACCTTTTCCTTTCGTAATTGATTGCTTAAATGAAAACTGATATTTTTTACAAGCGGCCAGTTGAAATTTTCATTCTCAAGTTGGTTTGAAAGTGCACTCAAATTTGACGTTGTATTTTAAAATTTATTCGGAGTCATTAAATTTATAGCTCTACTAGGCCAATGGGTAAAACAGAATTAAAAACCCGATTGCGTAAAACATTATATCACATCTACAACTAATAGGTAATCTAGGTACATTCTGCGTAGTTTACTCTTTAATTTTACTGAAATAGGGTTTGCACATCAGTGAAAATAATATTTTTTTTTATTTTTTTTGGGGTATGTTATACAGCGTTACTATCGTTCTTAAATATTGTGAATGGACTCGTTATAAGGCACCATTTGACCTCTTTTAGGCTTTACGGGTAGTTTTGTAACACCCGGTATTAAGGAGAATTTTACACATTGAATAAACATAATGTTAAGGGTTTATGGCGTTTAAGTTTAACTTTTTTAATTAATAACGTTTCGGGTTGGTCAAAGCACCCAAAAATATTTAAGCACTCAAATGTCTTTGGTGATGCGCAAATACTCAAACGCCACTGAATTTTAAGATCCCGTTAAATCTCGTGCTGTCTCTATCACTTTAAGTCAAAGAGACTGTGACGTAGATTTTTTTAAAGGATAAGGGTGACAAACGAGCACACAATCCACCTGATAGTAAGTGGTTACTGTGGTCCATAGATATCTAAATCGATCCTCAATTAAAAATCAAAATGGAGATGCGTTTTCACCCGTGAGGACTAAGATGGAATGCCTCGTTTCCAGTAAAAAAGGTCTCCGGTTATCTACACTCACCATACGAAACACAGCAGTGTTAAGCTGCTATTTTACGCTGGTATTCTGTGAGAGCGTGGTTCTTCCCCGGTCGAGCCGACCCATTCGTGCTACAACTATACTACTAATATAGCTGCAGCATGGCTCTACCACGTAGAAATTAAAAAGTTAAAATAAAAGGCGATAAAATCCGTAAAATTCGTTTCATTTAACGAGTAGCGCTTGAGTATTTGGGCATTGGAAAGTTAAAATTAAAAGTTAAAATTAAATCCGTTGAATTGAAGTATGAAAATGAATGTACGACAGGCCACACAGAAAGCTTTCAAATGATTTTGAATAGTGGGTATTAGGCATGGCTTGTTATGTAAATTAATGTATTGTTTAATATATTTAACGTGTTATCAAAATAAAACTTTTATTACAATGTCGTCTAATTAACATTTCGTTTGTATACTAAAAATATTATACATAATACTTTTAGTATACAAACGTATATTATATACAAGCAAAAATTTATACTACGTAAATGGATAGCTCGTAACATAAATATAGTCTATTTATCTATCTATACGTTATACACTGTACCGACTCAAGGGGGTATTTGCCATAAATGCCATGCTTGGCAAGCGGCTCGGCAACCATAGTTTTTTTAGTCGTTATTACTAAAACGCTGCCCATCTTCTGGTCTGATTCCTTCTGTCGCCTCATCCACCCAAGAGACGATATGGGGTAGTGGATATTCTTACATCGCTACTACACGGTTGGCATAAATACAATAATTATATCTAAGTACTTTATCAAAATAATTACTTAAAAATATTATGTCAAAATTATTTTGGATTCTGGGAGCAAAGAATTTGTAAGTCAGACTTTTAATTCTTAGAATGAAATTATCCGTGAAGCTAACGTTCTCTAGAATATTTGGCGGCATTCTTTGGATCTCCTTTGACAGATAGAGTAGTTATAAATTGCGGCAGAAACTGAGGTCAGAAATAAATTGCAAACGCGACGTTTATACGTCTGCACGATGCGATGTAAGAATTTCAACGTACTACTAAAATTCAACAATAGCTCATAGCATAACGAACTTTTTGGGAGCGTTTTTTCTCTCACAAAGGGCCCTTGTGTTAACAGAACGACAATAATAACTTAATTGTTACACAAATGAAGCTGAATGACAGAGTGAGAAATTGTTTAATAAGAGAAGAGTGTGGTTTGCAAGATGATGTTGTGACCAGGATTAAGAAAGGAATGCTTCGGTGGTTTGGCCATGTAGAAAGAATGAATGAGGAAAGAGTGACAAAGCAAATTTATGTTGCAGAGGTGAACGGCATAGTCGGGAAGGGTCGCCCTAGGCGAAAGTTTATCGACCAAATTGGCGATATATTAAAAATGGGCCAAATCAAGAGTACCTTTAACCGACGAGCGTGTATGCGTAGGTATATGGATGTGGAGGAAGCGAGAGAGGTGTGTCAGGATCGTGCCAAATGGAAGTCCATAATCTCTGCCTACCCCTCTGGGTGACAGGCGTGAGTGTTTATGTTATGTTATGTTATATGTTGTTACACAAATATGATGTTATGGCAGAAATATTGAAAAACAAGACAACAAAACTTCCAATATATAACGCTAAAGTACCTGTTGAAGCTGTTTATTTTAATTTTATTAATTTAATTAGAAAAAATTAAAACTCCCCTAAATAAAAAGAGCTGATGATTTAAATAATAGTTTAAGGGATTTTATCGCGTATATTAACTTATTTTATATTCCCGACGTTTCGAGCACCTTACAGCACCCATGGTCACGGGGGACTGAGGAGTTTGTCCCAATGTCATAGTTAATCACCACCTCCAGATTAAAATTATAAATTTTTGTTCCGATCTACGCAGTATGAACTTACAGTATCTTGTAGTCTTGCAGTTGTATGCTTGGGTTGGGATTTAATTTTATTAAATAGGATCCCAAGCATGTGGTAGCACCCAGCCATCTTCTCTATTGAAATTAGGATGTTTTTTGATTTCAATAGCCTCGCGAATCATCTTCGGAAGCAATCTATTTATTATACTATTTATAATACAAATAATCCTGTAGGTACGTGTTCACAGACTGCAGACTTCCAGATTGTCACATCAGCTATGTGTTCTTTAATGCGGGTTTTTATTGATCTTTTAGTTTGTTCTATATAAGAGAGTACACATTCACAATAAAGCTTGTACACTCCTGCATCTTACAGAGGGACATTACACTTGACTGATGGTAAAAACTGACTAATATTCTTCGGCGGCTTGAAGTATGTTTTTATGGAAGCACGCTTCAAGATGTAGCCAATCTTGTCAGTGACACCTCTGACATATGGCAGTACAGCAGGCACTAGCTCGACTGTCGCCGGCTTCACTCGATCACTGTAACGTATGCGCAGAACCCGAAGCGTGTTGTCGTGCAAAACTTGCTTGTCGTGTTGGAGCTCGGCGGCCAGGTGCTTACTGTCCCAGATCCCAGCCAGCGTTCTTGGCACGATACCGTGGGGTGTAGGTTGTATGATAATTGAGTTACAAGTTTTTTTTATTATAGTTTTTAATATTGTGTATAATAAAATATTGTATATTATGTTATGTAAATAAATAAAAATTTAAATGTGTAGTCTTCGCGTAAATATAAGAAATCGTTAGAGCTGATGACCTTCAAACGGCTGAAAAAAATTTCTTGAATTATAGCTAAGAACACTCTTGATCAAGTCACCTTTCAATTAAAAAGGAACTAAATCTAAATCGGTTCATCCGTTTGGGAGCCAAGATGCCACAGACAGACACACAGATAGACACGAAGATAGACACGTTAAACATTTTATAACATCCCACTGTTTGCGTCGGGTGTTAAAAAAGTATATCATTTTTAATAGAGACATGAACATTTCAAAGCAACAATGTCTGGATTTTCTTTTAAAATCCGAACAATAATGTGTACCTATATCAAGCATAATAAATTTTATTCAAATGTTCTATTCTTTATATAAAATTAAATATGAATACAATCGGCAACCAAAAAAAAAACATTCTAAATACGCTGCAACCTATTAAGAACTTTATTTCCAACACACAAAGTCTTCACACGCATAGCAATGCATTAATTGGCGCCGCGAACTGTGTCTAGTTGAACAATGTACAGTCGTCAGCAAAA